CCTCTTGTTTTTGCAGTGTGAGCCTGGATTTGCCATGCGCAGCCGACAAAAGCTGTGGCTGAAGCCATCTTCAAGTGGGGTGGAGGTCTCTTGATTTTCTCCATGTCTCTCCCTCCCAATCATTAATTTGGCCTAATGGGAGTTTGGATGAGGATGCAGAACAAGAGGCACAGTGTGGCATGAGGCAGTGTGACTGCTGCTGCGTGTGTTGTGTGCCTTCAAGTCGTTTCCGACTTATGGAGAGCATATGGCGAACCTATCAAGGGATTTTCTCGGCAACGCTAGGTGAGAGTGGGTTTGCCTTTGCCTTTATTTTTTGAGGCAGAGAGAGTGTGACTTGCCCAAGGCCCCCCAATGGGTTTCCATGGCTGAGCAGGGATTTGAACCCTGGTCTCCAGAGTTGTAGTCCAGTGCACAAACCCCTACACCATATGAGGCTGCTCAATAGCAGAACTTTTTCAGGTCTGTGAAGAAAGGTGGTACAAATATATACCTGCCTGGGGATTGAGGTCTGCAGGAGGGGTCCTCTTCTGTGTCCCACCAGAATGCAAAGTGTGAGGGGGCAGGGGAAGGTCTTCTTGGCTGTGGCACCCTGATTGTCGAATGCCTTCCCCAAGGAGGTCCAACTGGTGCCAGCTTGGACGTCTTTCCATTGCCAGAGCAAAACGCGGCTGAGTTAAGTGAGTGAATGGAGTGCAAACTACTTTGGGTTGGCTGAGAAGTAGATTCCCCCGGGTGTTAGCCCCTTTCCTGGGAAAGATGAAGACTGATTCAATTAAGACTCAGCCTTCCTTAGCAGAGTTTACAAGTGGAAGCGCTGGATCTCTTGGGTCTCTCTGAGACTAGTTTTAGCAAAGTAAAGCAAACAGGATGTATGCAAGATTCATAGCTAAAACCTTCACTAATTACATTTAAAAGTACAGGCAAACATATTTACATGCCGTGCCTAAGCCATGGCTAACTACAGAAAAGTTTGAAGAAGAGAAGCAGCACAACACAGGCTGCGCTTACCATCTTGAGGGAAGAGGGAGAAAAAAGGGAGAGGAAGAGAAGGAGAAGTCTTTTATCTGTTTGCAAACACACCTGGGAGGTCCTCTGCTTGCATGGTGTGGTTGTTTGGATACATCCCCACAATGGGTGACCGAGCAAATGGGAAAAGTGCTAGAGACAGCATGTACAGTTGGCCCTCTGTATCCACAGATTCTGCACCCATGGAGTCAACCAAGCATGGTTCAGAAATATTCTCACATACACATGTTGTTGTTGTTGTGTGCCTTCAAGTTGTTTACAACTTATGATGACCCTATCACTGGGTTTTCTTGGCACGATTTGTTCATGTGCATGCGGACACACATCCAAAAAGCATCCTCAGATTTTGGTTTCCATGATGAGTCCTGGGACCAAACTCCAGCGGAGACTGAGGAGCCACTATTAAGATAGAGGCATGAAGGAATCCCTTACTGTATAAAGCCCCTGTAACAATAGTTTCCATGGCCAAGTGAGGATTTAAACCCTGGTTTCCCAGTGTCCAACTATGCTATGCTGGCTCGGCAGTTCTATCCCATTACCTTTATTCAGATAACGCCTTTATTACCAATGACCTGGGTGGAGCATTTTCCATTTCTGCAAGACACCCATGAATCTATCTTGTGATCAAAGCACCGCAGAAAAGCGCAACTACCGGAGCTGTTGCAAAGTTTTGCCTCCCTCCCTATCCAGGGAAAAAGAATCTCTGCACCCCTCAGCTGTATTAGAGCTGAACGAGGCCAAGATGTGAACAAGATCTTGTCAAAGGAACAAAGAGACCGAAAAGTTGTTTTGCCTGAGAATACAAATGAGTCCTCTGCCTCTTGAATGTGATAGAGCACACTGCTCCGGAGGAGGAAAAGAAAATAGTTGAGGTGATGTGGGGAGGAGAAGGAAGGTAGTTGCTTGCAAAAGTTACATTCCAAGGTTTCCTGGGAAGATATTTGCCCAGCTCTTCGGGTGATGAGTCCTGCTAATTGTACATGATTAACTGTTGGAGGGTGATGCTTTCCCCCTCTGTTGAAAAGGCCACAAAGCCACGCAGCATGGAGGTGGGAAGCTGACTGCCCATTATCCCTCATGTGGGGATGCTTTGAAAGCCACTTGTCTTGAGGCCTCATTTCTGGACTGCCCACTGTTGTATTTGAGAAAGGGAGAGAAGGCCATCCGCATGTTTGTGGCTCCATGCTGAGGCAAACGGTAGGGAATGTGTAACAGCGATGTTAGGAGTGGAAGAAAAGAGAGACACCATTGTTGGAGAAAAATGGGCTCATGGGGCTCTCTTCTGCCTACATACACCATGCAGGGGTTGGGGATGATGACTCCATTTGCTTTCCAATTCCTCTCTAAAATGCACAACTCCCACTTTGCAGGAAAGCTGAAAGGAAGAAGTTGGTAGCGTGAGCTTTCATAGATTTGAGCCTGCTTCTTCAGATGCATGGAGTGAAGACATCTGAGGAACATCTCCATGCATCTGAAGACGTAGGCTCAAGTCTAGGAATGCTCAGCTATCAGCTTCTTTCTCTCAGTTAGGGCCTGAACAGACTGCCAGAAATAATCCAGCTTGAGAGCACTTTAACTGTCCTGGCTCAGTGTTAGGGAATCATGGGAATTGCAGTTTTTTTTCTGAGACATGGAGCCTTCTCTGTCAGAGAGCTCTAGTGCCACAATAAACTACAGGGATTTCTAGTCTAATACATTAGTAAAATCACATTTTCAAACTCTGTTGCTACTGAAAAATACTTGGGGGCTTGGGGTTGAATTTCTCAAAAGTCTTGGTAAGGGTGGATTCTGAGATGGTTTCCCATCTCCTCTGTTTCTTTCCCAGACTCTGCCAATAGCATCCCTGTGACCCTCTCATTGCCTACGGTGATTGTGATGGTAGCAAATTGTGATTTATCTGTCAAGGAGGCTGTAAAACAGCTCTGGACTTTCAAGTGTTGTGTGCTAAGGTTTTCTGCCAAATAGGATCAACAGCTTGGATAGCTCTTTGAAAGAATAGGATTAAAATCCAGAAGGGATCCCCTGCCCCATGGATGTGGCAACTACTGGATTTGATGTTGGAATGAAGCCTTGTCGAATGGGGCTTTCTGTAAGGAGCAGCGCAGTTGTTCAGAGAACAAGGAAACTGCAAGGATCTCTCTGTCTGGCTAGCACCGGAGGAAGCTGCACCAGGATGCTTAAAGATCATGGCATTGCATCAGGAAACATCTCCACATTAAATACTCTGACTGCCATAGAATTGAGAAATGGAGCCAGGCCTTTTTTTTCCCCGTGGAATTTTTGCAGGCAGAATAAAACAAAACAATATCTTGAGAGTGAGGTGGAGGAAGAGAAAAGCCTTGTGCTACGTCTCTTGTCCAATGCATCTGGGAAGCAGAGCATGGAATCTGTGCCAGAATGGTGGACAAAGCCGGGGTCCTCCCTTTTCCTTTCCACTTGGTTTTTGCACCC